TCCCCAGTCTCCCGAAGCTGGACCTGGCTGGCAGGTTGAGGTCTCCCACACGTGTTCTGACTGTGGGCATTCTTTCCCTCATGCCACTGGCCTGCTGAGCCACCGGCCCTGCCACCTGCCGGGCATCTATCAGTGCTCCCTCTGCCCAAAGGAGTTTGACTCTCTGCCTGCCCTGCGCAGCCACTTCCAGAACCATGGGCCCGGGGAGGCAGCCCCTGCACAGCCTTTCCTCTGCTGCCTCTGCGGCATGATCTTCCCCGGCCGGGCTGGCTACAGGCTTCACCGGCGCCAGGCTCATGACTCCTCTGGCCTGACGGAGGGCTCAGAGGAGGAGGGAGAAGAGGAAGGAACCGCAGGGGCAGCCTCTACCCAGAGCCCTCCGCTGCAGCTCTCGGAAGCAGAGCTGTTGAATCAGCTGCAGCGGGAGGTGGAGGCACTGGACGGAGCCGGTTATGGGCACATCTGTGGCTGCTGTGGTCACACCTATGATGACCTAGGGAGCCTGGAGCGTCACCACCAAAGTCAGAGTTCTGGGAACACCACAGACGAAGCTCCCAGCCACTTAGGAGAGCCCAGTGATGCCATGGGAAGGGCTGCAGGTGGTGACCGTGTCTTTGAGGGCGCAGTGACCTCTCTGTCTGGGGAGGGCGAGGACACAAAGTCTGGAGAGGGAGCCGGTGCGGTGGTTGTGGACAGCCTTTGCAGGCCGGGTGAGGAGAGCGCGCCAGAGGCCCAGCCCCGCCCCTTCCGCTGCAACCAGTGCGGCAAGACCTATCGCCACGGGGGCAGCCTGGTGAACCACCGCAAGATCCACCAAACTGGTGACTTCACCTGTCCTGTCTGCTCCCGCTGCTACCCGAACCTGGCCGCCTACCGGAATCACCTGCGGAACCACCCGCGCTGCAAGGGCTCTGAGCCCCACGTGGGGCCCATCCCGGAGGCCGGGGGCAGCGGCGAGGCTCAGGACGTGGCGGAAGAAGGGCTGGGTCAGGCAGACGGGGGAAGGTTCCAGGAAGAGCTGAAAGTGGAGCCCTTGGAGGAGGCGGCAAGTGTGAAAGAGGAGGAGTGGGAGGAGGCCGCTAGGCAAGGGGAGGAGGAGCAGAGGCTGGAGACGGCGGAGAAGAGCTGCCAGACCGAGGCCAGCACCGAGCGGCCCTTCAGCTGCGAGGTGTGTGGCCGGTCGTACAAGCACGCCGGCAGCCTTATCAATCACCGCCAGAGCCACCAGACCGGCCACTTTGGCTGCCACGCCTGCTCCAAAGGCTTCTCGAACCTCATGTCCCTGAAGAACCACCGGCGCATCCACGCCGACCCCCGGCGTTTCCGCTGCGGCGAGTGCGGGAAAGCCTTCCGCCTGCGGAAGCAGCTGGCCAGCCACCAGCGGGTCCATGCTGAGCGGGCTGGGAGTGGGGGCGCCCGGAAGCTGCCGCGGGAGGATCGGCCCTTCAGGTGCGGGCAGTGCGGGCGCACCTACCGCCACGCGGGCAGCCTCCTGAACCACCGGCGCAGCCACGAGACGGGCCAGTACAGGTGCCCCACGTGCCCCAAGACCTACTCCAACAGCATGGCCCTGAAGGACCACCAGCGGCTACACTCAGAGAGCCGGCGGCGGCGAGCGGGGTTGTCCCGGCGGGCAGCGGTGCGATGTGCCCTGTGTGGCCGGGGCTTCCCTGGCCGGGGATCTCTGGAGCAGCACCTGCGGGAGCATGAAGAGGAGACCACAAGTAGTCCGGGAGACACAGAGGGCCATGAGGGGAACCTGGCCAGTGACCAGGGACCAGAGGACAGAGCGGGTGGTCCTGAATCAGTTCTCCAGCTGGAGGGTGGAGCCAAGAGGCTGGGGGAGCAGAGTCTGAGCCCCATCATGGCAGCGGAGCCGGGATTCCAGGACGTGGGGAAGGCAGAAGGGAGGCAAGGAGAGGGGGGACCAGTGAATCATGGTGGAGGTTGGGTTCCTCAGGGTCATGTACTGGCCAAGCCAGCAGATCAGTCGGAGGAAAGTATCCCCAAGAGTCCTTGTTGTCATGGCAACACCCAGCCCAATGGACCCAGTCTGAGTCCTGTGGATAGCTGGGACAGTGGAGACAGCCGACTTCAGGTCCAGCCAGAGAGTCACCCCTTTTCCTGCACCCATTGTGGCGAGATGTACTGCCCGTCGTCAGAAGGCCCTTTGAACCGCCACAGCACCCCTGAGACGGACTGCCATCATTGCCTGCCCTGCCCTGAGGAGTTCACGAATCCTGTGGCCACTAAGAGCCACAGCCACAACCACATAGCTGCCCAGACCTTTGCCTGCTCTGACTGTGACAAGGCCTTTCAGTCCCATCACGAACTAGCTAGTCACCTGCATACACATGCCAGTGGCCTCAGTCAGATGCTACCCCAGATACAGGAGGCCACAGGTCCTGAAGGTGGGACTGTGGAGGATGAGGTAGATACCTCTGGCCAAGGGGAAATCCAGAAGTCCCCATCAGAAACCCCCAAGGTCCCAGGAGAGGATGCTGGGAGAGCTAATGGGGGGCAAGGAGTAAAGTCCACTGTGGCTGAAGAGGAGGAACGGCCCTTCCGCTGTGCCCAGTGTGGGCGGTCCTACCGCCACGCTGGGAGCCTGCTGAACCACCAAAAGGCCCACACCACTGGACTTTACCCCTGCTCCCTCTGCCCCAAACTTCTACCCAACCTGCTGTCCCTTAAGAACCACGGCAGGACCCACACAGACCCCAAGCGCCACCGCTGCAGCATCTGTGGCAAGGCCTTCCGGACAGCTGCCCGGCTGGAGGGTCACAGGCGGGTCCATGCGCCTCGGGAGGGGCCCTTCTCCTGCCCTCATTGTCCCCGCCACTTCCGCCGCCAAATCAGCTTCCAGCAGCACCAGCAGCAGCACCAGGAGGAATGGACGGTGGCCAGCTCTGGTACGGGGGCATGAATGGCTTGGGCAGAGGATAGAAAGGTTCCAGAGGAGGTGGGCACAGAGTCGGGGTGGGGGGGGCATGGAATGAGAGGAGAGGGTCATACGGCTTCCAGGAGGTGTGAGGTAGGTGGGGGGAACTTCCATATGGAGGAAAAATAGTTTGAGGATGCTGCCTTGTGAGGGCTGAGATTGAAACCCTGGGTGAGGTCAACAGCATGGTGTGTGGGATGGTGGGGTGGGGTAGGGGCATGGGCAGCTGCTGAGCCAAAGAGGAAGGGGCTTTTTATTTGGGGAAGGGAGGCACCTATTACATCTGGCTACTTCCCTGATCTAGCAGAAAAGGAATGATTTCCAGAGGAAAAAATGGTCTAGGCGGTGCTCTTTCCTTGAGGCAGGGAGCAGGAGAGTGAGGAAGGGTGTGGGAGCCACCCCCAGACTCGACTGCTCTGTGGCTTTTGTGTTGACTTGGCCAGGGAAACCAGGCCACTGGTTGGCCCCCAGCTCCCTGTCCCTCTTCCCTGCATCTTGTCCCCCTCCTCTTTTCTTGGAATCTAGACCTTTGGTCCTTTGCTAGTGATACTGCCCCCATGTCTCATATTCCCCTCATCGAACCCTTTCTTCTCTCTGCTGTGCATCTCCTTTTTAGGAGCCAACCAAACCACTCTTTCTACCTGCATACCCCCGTTCCTGCCAACACACCTTTAACTGGAGGACTGAGTCACAGATAATTGTTTCTTTGAAGCCAGGCCCAGCTGTAGTAACAACAGTCATTAGCCCCTGTCTCCCATCCTCTATCAGGGGAATCTCCATGGAAAGTCACCCCACCCAGCCCAGCTGGAGGATGAGCCTGCGGGGGAGTGGGGCAGCCTGTTTCTGAGCCCTGGGCTCACGCCTTCAGCCTCCCCCTCGAGATCTCTAGGCCTTCTCCCAGGACCCATTCCATTTAGTGGCCACCGAGGGTGGGTGTCCCTAAGATGGCAGGTCCTTGACCAGAGATTGTCAAGGAGGGAGGGCATGGTGGGTGAGAGTCCCCCGAGAGAGCTGACGAGATGGCTTTCAGGATAAAAGATTACTTGTGACCTCAAGGGAATGAGCGAGAAGCCAGTTAATCAGGCCTGGAAAAATAATTGGGAGTTTCTCATGTAGGCTTCTGGGGCCACGGTGGGGGTGGGGGCGGTGGCGGCAGGATGGCCTGCAGGGCTTGGGAACAGGGTGCAAGCTGTGTGCAGTTTGCTGCCCTCAGTGACCTCCTCTCTTTCTCCCCAGGATCCCCAAAGGCACCAGCGGCGGGGAGAGGGGACTTGTCATTGCCCCCTCCTTCCACTCCCACGACCTCACTTCTGGATCCTTCACCCCAGTGGCCTGCAGACCTCAGCTTCTCCCTCTAAACTCCAAGTCTCCAAAGATCAGAATACGGGCGGGGTGGGGGGGGGCGGGTTGCAGGGAAAGGCTTGATCTCCATGTTTTGCTCAGGAGTAGTTAGGCATCCCCATCTCTCATTCTCCTCTCCCACTGTGCAGAGGACCCGGATCTGGCTTCTTGCCCAAGGAGGGGGTAAGGTTTTCCTCACGTCTCTGTCCTTGAAGACCCTCCTTTTCCCAGCCTTGGTCACTATGCTCTTCCCTATGACGAGCCCTGCAAGAAACCCGGTGCCAGGCTCTGCCACAAATTGGGGCCACCGTCACCAGCCAGATTCCAACGCCAGGGAGAGGCAGAATCAGAGAGCTACAGGTGGGAATGTTGCCTGTGGAAGGGGAGCTTTTTGCTACAATTTGTAACTTATTTTCTAAAGTCTATTTTGTAACAATTTATTTAAGTTTAGAAAAAAAAAAGGAAAATTGCTCCCCCCCACCCCAAAAAAAAAACCTCGAATTTTCAAAGTAAGTGACTGGTGTGATCCTATCTGGGTCTGAAGAATAGGGAAGGCTGGGGACGCCTGCGTCGGACAGCAGAGCTGAGTGTGTCGGGGAGCATCCCGCAGGTGACATCTCCCTGTCCTGCAGGGGTTGGGAGTGAGGGCAGCCGCCGGCCCAGAAGGGCTCCAGTCCTGAGCCCACTGGGCTGGTGGGCCTGCCCCGGTGCCTGGAATCATGTGCAGGCAGGGACTACAGGAGAGGGACATGGGTGGTGACTCAGAAATTGTCTGACGGTGTCTGCAGCAGCATCGCAGAGCCACCTATCAACAGCCAGCTGGTTTGCCTGTCAGAAAGAGGAAGGAGGGTAGGGTTGACCTCATCCTCAATACTCTCCCTCCCTCCCTGGAAGGTACTATTTAAGCCCCATGACAGATAAGAAAACCGAGGTTTGAAGAAGTTGGGAGGCCTGCTCCAAGGCAGAGTGATGAAGAACCAGTGTTTTGCCCATGACCCCACCCAGGGAGCTTGAGGTGGGCCAGAACTATCTTTCCCCGGGTTGAGAGAGCGTGCATCTAGAGAGAGAAGTGTCAGCAGAGAGGCCCTAGGGCCACATACTCGTGTTGGCCAAGCAGCTTCCAGTCTCGGCCTCGGGCTCTGGCTCCTCAGCAAAGTAGACCTGCCAGTCCAAGCTGCTGACCCAGTTCTCATAGGCGGGAAGCGCCACGAACACTGCAGGCCTTGCGGGGCCCTGGCAGGCATCTCCAAAGCTGTGTAGCCCGGCCAGGAACCATGTGCCCCTCACCTCGTGCACCAGTGGTGCCCCAGACAGGCCCTGTCAGGGGTCAGGTGACAGTGGGTGACTTTCTCTTCTCCCTAGGCAACTGTGGGGGCTGAGGCTCTGGCCGTTTGGGAACTAGTCAGCAGAAAGACCGAATTTTGAGGGACAGGCAAGTCTGGAGGCCAAGCCTGGCTAAGGTTCGTTCATGAATTAGAGGATAAAGATGTCAGCCCTCTAGGGGGTAAGGTTTGGGGGACCGGGGCTTACCTCACAGTGGGGTGGCTCACCCACGACACTGGAGCACACCATGCCTGGCAGAATGGGGACACTGTCGCTCCCAAGAGTTGTACGCAGCCGACTGCAGGCCCTGGGTCCCAAGAGGGTCACAGGCACTGTCTGAGGGGAGCTGGTGCCTGTAGGGCAGGGGACAAGACCCAGCTGCCCAGCAGCCTCTAGGCTGGATGGACAGCTGCTGGTGGGCCTGTCCTACGTACCTGTTTCTGGGCAGGGCAGCCCCAGGACCCATCCGCGTTCCCCATCAGGCAGATGGTGGTCAGAATAGGGCAGGCAGAGCGGCCGAAGGTTGGGGCCTAGTGTCACGGGTTGGGCCAGCAACAGGAGGGCTACGTCATAGCCCCCCTCTGGATGGGTGTAGGCCCCATGCAGGATGAGTTGCTTCAGGCCCCGCTCCTCTAGTCCGGACCCCAGCCTGATGCTCCATTCTTCTGGGGTCTGGCGCCTGAGCAGAGGCAGCATTGACAGCCACGGGTGTCAGGGCTGCCGGCAAGGGCAGGGGGCACGAAGGCAATAGAGACATGGCTCACCCAATGAAGCAGTGGGCAGCGGTCAGCACGACCTCCTCTGACACCAGGGCTCCACCACAGGCCAGCTTCCCCTGGTGCATCAGCCTGGCATCCCAGGGCCATGGGGAGGGGGCTCCTGCCTGGGGGCCTTCTCTCCTCAAGGATCCACAGGCTGGAACAGACGGGATGACCTCACCTGCCTTCTTGCTAAGTGCTCACTGCATGTCTGGCCCTGTGCAAAGTGCTTTCCACAAACTATCAGATCCTCACAATATCCTTTTAAGCTGGATTTTGTTACCCTCGTTACCAAAGTAACCAAGTCCCAGCGAGGTTAAGTGACTTTCTAACTCAGTAACCACAGGCAGGTAGCCAACTTGAGACTCAAAAGCCAGGGCCCAAGCTTTTAAACCCTAATGGTCTAGCCTCATGGGAGTGGCCCGGCTCATCATACTCCCACCCCAGCTGTCTGCACCCCCAGGGCTTGAACTGGCCCCAGAATTCCTGGCTCACTAGTACTTCTCTTACCATCAAGACACAGCTTCCGCCCTAGGAACTCTTTTGCATGTTAGTCAGCCTGGCATCCCAGGGCCATGGCTAGAATTTTGAGTGGGAGCCCTGCCCTGTCCCATCTCCCTGGGTCCCTGCTTAGAAACTTGGAGCTTACTCCCACAACCTTCAGTTAGACCTCAGATCCCTCTTCTTACCTAAGCTCCAAATGCACAGAGTTCTTAGGTATGTATGCCTCTCAGCCCTCAGTAGGGCTGTTCCTCTCTTGAGGGCTGAAAGGGCCCTTAAAAGCCGCCTAATTCGCCCCTGACAGTGTGTGAATGCCTTGTCCCAGTTCTCTGTTCTGAGCTGAAATTGGCTTTACGATGCATCTATCTGCTCCCCAGAGGTCCTTAGCCAGACCCGGTTATCCCCACCTGTCCCACTCCTAATGCCCCCCGCTCATACCTACACAGCTGTCCTCATCACTGATCTCCGGGGTCCCCGGGTTCTGGGACAGGAAGGCCGCCCCCTGAGCTCGAGCGCGCAGCCAGGAGCTGTGAGCGGCCGTGCTGGTCAGCAGCACGGGGGTGTCTTCTTGGGCACAGCTTGATGCAAAGCTGATGATCCCAGCCTGAACCCAGCGTCCATCAGGCTCACGGCACAGCACAGGGCCCCCAGAATCTCCCTGGAACCAGGCAAGGGAGTCAAGGGTGGACACTTGAGCCCCAACCACAGGCAGACCCCCTCTAACAGTGGCACGTCCACCTGTCCCTAGGAAGTGAGTACCGAGCCCGGGGCTAGGCCCCTTCTCTTTCTGTTCCCCTCCCTCATCTCCCCCATCACACCTGACAGGGACCCTGCACCCCAGGCTGGGCACCCCCACACAGCATCCCAGGTCGAGCTGGGCTGGCCAGCAGCCGCTGGTGCAGCCGGTTGTAGAGACAGTTACAGGTAGGGCGGCTGATTAGACGCAGGCGCAGATTCCGCAGAGTCCTGGGAGCTGGCAGAAGAAAGGGGCTTGGTGGGGAGCAAGGGAGATGGAGCAGAGGGACAGTTGGCAGCTGAGGCTGTGTGACCCCGGGCAAGCGTAGTGCCTCTCTGGGCTTTAGGCTGCGCCAGCACTTACCACCATTGGTGTCCTGATCCCAGCCTGTGGCCCAGCAGGAGGTCCCGAAAGGAAAGCGATGGGTGGGCTGGGGCAGGCAGAGGGGTGTGCGGGCCGTGGGCTGGGCGAGCCGCAGCAGGGCCAGGTCTGAGCCCTGGCTGTAGTGGTTGTAGGCCCTTGGCAGCTGCAGAGCTGTCACCCCCACCGTCTCGGCCCCTGGGCTCAGCCCGTCACGTTGCAGAGAACCCAGGACAACTGACCAGGAGTTCAGTTCTGTCATTGCTGCCCTGGAAGGGGAGGGATATAAAGCTGGGGCATTGAACACAAGAGGGGACAGTGACACCATGAGAGATACCACGGGTAGGTGAAGGATGGACAGAAGTCAGCCCGGAACCTTAAGCCAGGTCCTTCCCTTCCCCAACCTCCATTTGCTCGCTTATAAGGCTTCCACCACGAAAGCTTCAGATTAACCTGATAATGTGTGCCTAGCACGTGGCCTGTTCTCAGGACATGGTACCGTGTTACTCTAGGGGTACAACGTGGGTCAGTTTTATGGAGTTTGGGGACATAGCATCCATGCCCCCCAAAAGCCAGAAACTCTGCTTGACCCCAGCCAGGACTCACTTTTCAAAGCAGTGAGCAGCAGTGAGGACCCAGGTATCTGCCACCAGGGAGCCGCTGCAGAGGTGGACCCCCCACCGCCTCACACTCGCTTGCCATGGCCACTCGCCAGGTACTGTGATGCCTTCCTGAGGCTCAGGGGGGCCAGGGCCACGCTGCCCACAAACTGTAAAGGGGAGGGGGATAGGTCAGACTGACAGAAGTCCCTGTCCTGCCCTCCCCACAGGCCTGAGCCCATGTCCCCAGAGCTTACCGGGCTGAGCTGCTTGAAGACCTGGGAAAAGAGACACGGGTGAGACTTGAGGGAACCTTACCTGCCTGGCCCAGCCTTGATGGAAGGCAGACATTTTGGGGGACTGGCCCTGGATCCTTGCCTATGATTGTGTGGCTACCTTACCAGCCTCTCCCAGAATGAAAATACATGATGAGGTCAAGAAACAGCTTTTATTGGAACCTATTCAACGCGTATACTCAGTAATTAATTCTCCTCCTTCAGCTGTGCTCAGCACTCCTAGGCCTGTGAAGGAGGGCCAGGGTTCAGCCTAGGACTGGCCCAGCCCTCCTCCAGGCTTCAGAACCCCCAACTCCAGCCCACGCCACTGAGTCAGGGAGGCAGCCTGCATATGTGGAGAGCATTAGCTTAATTGTGCCCTCAGCCGTGATGCCTAAGAGGAAGGATTAGAGGCAGACATCATGTCCAAGTTGGGGAAGGCGCCAGGAGATGGAGACTCACCCCACCCCTGTTCTGACGACTCAGAGTCCCCCACCTTTCCAGAATCTGCCAGAAACTCTACCAAAGGATCCCCTGCCCTGCTTCTTTCCCATCACAGGCATATCTATCGGCATCTGGGCCAGGAGAGGCCAGGAGAGATGGGACAGAGAGATGAGTACACAGAGCCAAAGGGCTCCCAGAACCTGCTGAAGGTAATTCTGAAAGTAGAGAAGTAGAGAGGCAGAGAGGAGTGCAGGGTACACACACAGGCACAACGACAGCAGACACGGACTGTCATCTGGCCCAGGAAAATCCCACCTGTTCTGACATAGGTGGCCTGCTCCACAGGCAGACACGGTTACACCAGCACCAGCCGACTGTCGCCCCACGGGCTCGCGCCCTCACACACCCTGAGCTGCAAGCCTGCTGGGTCAGCGGGCGGCCCACCATACCACTCCCCTCCCCGCTCACCCGCAGTGGCTCACCCTCCACGAGGACCACTGCTGCCAGGATGAGCAGTGCTGGTCCCCAGCTCTGCAGCATGCTGCTCCAGGCCACTCTGCCGCTTCTGCTCAGGTTTTCAGAGGCCGCCTGGGTCTCCCTAGCTCCACCTCTGCTCCGCCCCCGGCTGTCTAAGAGTCAGGTGTCATTGCTTTTCCCCCGGCTGGAAGGGAGCCTGCAGCTCCTAGGTGGCTGTGACTGTTACCCTGGGCTCTTCACCAGCCCTCCGTGGGGCTCCACCATGTCCAGACTGCATGGGTTCAAATCCTCATTCCCCCAGTTACTGCCTAAGTGACCTTGGACAAGTAGCCTGTCTGTGGACTCAGAATTGCTGAATGTGAAAATGCTTGGGCCAGAGTCTGACACAGAGAAGACTTGCTCCCAGCATGGAAGCTGTCCTCTGGGAACTGGGAGGGGAACTGTGGGCAGAGCCTCCCAGGTCACAATTTGTTTCAGCTTCCCTAGCTCTCCTCCAGGCGCACGAGCAGATGGGTCTCACATACCTTCTCCCACCTTGCTTCAGAGGCCGTGTGTGCGGGCCCGGGACTCTCTGCCACTCGCTGCAGCGAGGCTGACAAATCCCAGAACCTCTCTGCCACCTTCCAAGGGACCAAGGTTACAGCGGCGCCCACCCTTCTGGCAGGTGGTGGAAGACTCAGTTGGGAAGGAGGAACACTCAGGGTGCACCCTTTTTCTCTTCCCCACTTCTAACTCAGGCCAGCCCAAACTACTCAGGAACCCTGACCCCCAACACAGGCAGTTGTGGTAAGGGCAGACATGAGCCAGACAGCCCCAGTGGATCTGAATCCCCAGGGCCCCTTAACCCCCTCCCTGGCGCCAGCTGTGTGGTCTTAGGTAAATTACTTATGCTCTCTGTATCACAGTTTCCTCATCAAGATAGGGATAAGAACATCTACCTCATACAATTAGATATGTAAGGGTTAGAGGAGTTAACATATGTCATGTTCTTTTTTTTTTTTTTAAAGATTTTTATTTATTTATTCATAGACAGAGATCACAAGTAGACAGAGAGAAAGGCAGAGAGAGGAGGAAGCAGGCTCCCTGCTGAGCAGAAAGCCCGACTCGGGGCTCGATCCCAGGATCCTGAGACCATGACCCAAGCTGAAGGCAGAAGCCTTAACCCACTGAGCCACCCAGGCGCCCTCATATGTCATGTTCTTATGCAGTGCTTAGCATGTGGATAGGTGCTTAGCACATATTAGGAAAACTAAGACAGAAATACTCAAAATGTGTTCCTGGTCCTCAGGGTGGCCAAGACTGGCTTGGGGTGGTAGATAAGGCAGCTGGAGGGGTGAAGGTTGGACCATAGGAAGAACTTCCCAGTTAGCACGCACAGAAGTAGAAGGGTAGTTTGCCCTTTCAAGTGTGTGCTTGGCCCCCAAGAAGAGAAACCCTGGCTCCCGTTGGGCAGCAAGGACAAGCTGCCAGCCTGTTTTTTGGGGGTGGGGCTGATGGCACCCCAAGTCTTACCAACTCCACACACTGGAGAAGGGACCAACCATCCTTTCCAGGTAGGCCCTACACTCTCCCTCTGACTCATTTGCTTCCAATCCAGAGGAGACAAGACTGGGGGAGGCCCAACACTAGGGTCCCTCACAGACAGATGGCTCAGACTTAGCCAGTTTATTTAAGAAATTTTATTGCTCAGAACCTTCCCTTCTTGGGCAATGGCAGGAGCTTTGGAACCCAGCCCTTGGGGACAGAGCCAGAGGCACTGAAGTGGAGGAAAGAATGTGGCACATTTGGTCCATTGTCCTGTGTGGGAGTATGGTGGGGTCAGCCTGTAGACTCTTCTAAGGACCCAGACATGGGCCCCCTGGGCAAGGCTCCCATGCCAAGGCAGAGCGTGAGGTCAGCCTGGCTTGGGTGAGGGCTCAGTGCCCCTTGATCTTGCCCTGCGGTTCCCGGACCTTCCGGAAGCTGAGCACCACCAGGCCTACATTGATGGCATAGGTAGTGATGCAAACGATGCAGAAATCATGGAGTACGAAGAACAGGATCCAGGCCAGGTAGACAGAACCGACAAGAGACACCAGGGAACTCAGCACCAGCAGGATAGATGCCCAGCGGGCCCGGAGGCAACCTGCAAGGCACACAAGGCTCAGGCAGGGCTTCAGGGACTGGCCATCTCTAGAACACTGCCTTGACTTCAGGGTATCACCCAGACCTCAGGATCTGCTTGAGAAGAGTCTCTAAAATGAGAGACTCTGATGGGCCTCACCAAGGCCTTGGTTCTCCTATTTGTTCATTGAGCCCTAGAACCCAAATAGTGAATTTCCCTGCTGAGCTCTGCATGTGATGAAAGAGATGCTGTCCTTGGGAGTCCCCCCAGAGAGTAACTCCTGAGTCTTTCCCACAAAGTGGAGTGAGTCCTAGGAGGTCTTTAAGGGCCCTTCTGGCTCTGACAGGACCTTAACCAAGTGAAAGACTTGGTAGTTCCTGCCCCCTCCAGGGGGCTCACTGATGTGCAGCGGGCTCTAGGCTGTCTGGGTCACCGAGATTCCGAGGGATGGGGCTGGGCGGGCCAAGGGGGGGAGGGGCCTATCAGGAAGAGGTGGAGCCTTAAGGGCAGGGGCGGGGTCACTCACCTAACAACAGCTGTAAAGTGTAGAAGATGCAACCGAATATGCTATTGGATTGATTGAGGATGCTGTCCTGGCCGAGCACATGTTCCACCAGCCCGAAGCCCCGGCCCCACCTGGTGGAGGGCAGGACCCCGGTTAGGAGTGGCAATCCAGTGCCTTGGCCCTGTCCTGCAGGGGTGATTTCCAAAAAGCCACCTAGGTTGTACTTCCCCTTCCCTCCCCCACGCCCTCCTGAGTCCAAGGGTCGATGAACTCCTGGCTACCCTCCCTTTGGCTACGTCAGGATTCCATGTCCCTGCCCCGGTGTTCCCCTATCCCCAGGCCAGGGCTGGCCATGGCTCCACCATATGCCCCTCTTTTCATCCTAGGCCTTCAGTAATTCTTAAGATGGCAAGGTAGGTAGAACGGTTGACCTTGCATTCCTGGGAATCAGGTGCAGAATCTCTCTGCCCTGGACCTCTAAATCTCCAGCTCCCTTCCCGCCCACTCCCCTCTTATGTATTCTGTCAACCCCAGACCCTCAAGCATAGTCAGAGCTGGCCACCTTATCCTAGTCACGGCCATCCTCAAGACCTCAAGCCCATCATCGGTCCCCATACGCTAAGCCATTCCCCCTTCTACCCGGTTACCGTTATTCCTTGGCATTCGGATCTACGTGCTACTCCCCAGAACAACCACAGTGCCCAGTACTACCTGCACCACCCGGCCCCAGCCCGAGGCCCCACACACCTTTCTTGGAACACAGTCTCCCCAGGCAACGCCCCCTCGAGCAGCCCCGCCCCCAAGCGTCCGATCCCAAACTCCAGAAGCCGCCGGCAACCTGTCCCCCAAGACGAGCAGACCAGTCCCGCAAGTCTTCCACTCCCATACTCACCTGGAGGAGAAAACGCGCGAACAGCTGATGGCAGTGCCCACGTCGCAGAGCGCGCGATAATCCCGGTCCCGGGCGCGCGCCGCCTTCACGTGCAGCGCGTAGAGAGAGAGCACTAAACCCGCGAGGCACAGCGCCAGCCGCACCCATCCGGGGTTCCCCCAGGTAGCGCCCATGTCTTCCGATCCCGCCCGGAGGCACTAGCCCGTAGGGAACCAGCCACGGAGCTGGGGGAAGACAGGATGTGGCCACGCCTTCTCCCGCCCCTCTGGGCGATTGGCCTTCCTGGCCTCGCACTCCCTGATCCAATTGGTTGTTCCTACGACTTTGATGGGCGTGCCGTGGCAAGGTAGGAAAACAGGGAGGAACGCTAGGTTTGGAAAACCAGATTAGGGACAGGGGTAATTACTGGAGCGCACGGCCTGCCAGGCATCATGGGAGTTGTAGTCGGAGTGGCCGCAATGCCTTAAGGGAAATGGAGTCTCCGAGTTTTAAAAATTATATTAATGTGGCTAACCGTGTAGCGTTTACGCTATGCCGAGCTCTGTTCTAAACTTTGGAACATCCAGGGATTAGGGACCGGCGGACCTGGGAACCCAGAGAATACTGCGATCCGATAAAAAACCAGCATTTTCACTGAAATTATTATTTCAGATACTATTAGGACCCTATAATCTCCAATCGTCCTATCTTGCTCAGTTTTCCCCTTCTATCTCATCAGCGCCGCCTGCAGGCCAGTCTCTCTCTCTCTCTCCCCGCCTCTCCCTCTTGCCCTTAAATTCCCAGCTCCACACTGGGTGTGGTGCATTAACAGTGAATTCTGGAACACTGAAAAGAAATTTAAAAAATAAATTAGGGGCGCCTGGGTGGCTCAGTGGGTTAAGCCACTGCCTTCAACTCGGGTCATGATTCCAGAGTCCTGGGATCGAGCCCCACATAGGACTCCCTGTTCAGTAGGAAGCCTGCTTCTCCCTCTCCCACTCCTCCTACTTGTGTTCCCTCTCTCACTGTGTCTTTCTCTCTGTCAAATAAATATATAAAATCTAAAAAAAAATAAATTAAAATTAAAAAAAAATTCCTAGCTCCATTATCACGCCACACGCTCGACATTATCCTAACCTCTGTTCCGTCGTGGCGCCAGCCTGGCAAAAACCTGAGTCTGGATCAACCCCAGAGTCCCTCTTTTCCAAGCCTTCCGTGGGCTAGCTGCGCTGTTTCCCTCCCAGACATCACGTCTATTGATGACCCGTCTCTCCTATACCTCTCCTGCCTTCTCATCTGCATTGAAAGTCGCTTCTCTTTCCCCGTTTTAGAAATAGTAACAAATTTCCCTTCACAATAGAGTTTTTGGGAAGATTTTACAATTCCAGCGTGTACTTTCTCACTTCTTCCTTACTGCCCAGCACACCATAAACTAGCTCCTGCCCCCAAATACTCCCCTGACAACTAATGGCTGATGTCATCACAATACTAAATCCAATGGGTATGTATATATGTGTGGGGTGGGGGGATGGAAAGAGAGAGAGAAAGAGAAAGAGAAAGAGAGAGAAATCTCTACACCCAATGTAGGTCTCAAACTCAGGACCCTGACGTTAAGAGTCACATGCTTCTCCTACTGCGCCAGCTAGGTACCCCTCCAATGGATATCTTTGAGTTCTTATCATGCTTGATCTCCAACAGTGGTAGTCACTCCTGTCCAGGAACTCTTTTTCTCTGGATTCTGTGATATTTCACTCTCCTTCTGGCTCCTCTCTCTGTGCCTGCTCCTTCTCAAACCCATTCTTTCAGGCAGCATGGTCCCCAGAATAATGGCTCCCAAAGATGCCCATGTTTAATCCCAGCGACCTATGCATATGTGAGTTTCCATGGCAAACAGGAATTAGGACTGCAGATGGAATTAAGGTTACGAATCTGCTGGCTTTAAAGTAGATTATCCTGTGTAACCAATATAATCACTTAAAAGTGAAAAGGGGCAGGGGGAAAATGAGAAGCAGCAGCAGAGGAGAGTCAGAGGGAGGTGTGACTATGTAAGGAAGGTACAGAGAGGATGCAGTGTTGCTGGCTTTGAAGATGGAAGAAGGAGGTCATGAACTGAGGAATGTTGGGTGGCCTCTAGAAGAAGGAAAAGGCAAGGAAATGGATTCTGCCCAAAAGTGTCTGGAAAGGAACTATTGATATCTTGATTTTAGCCCAGTGAGAGCCTTGTTGGGCTTCTGAACTGCAGAACTATAAGAGAATAGATTTATGTTGCTTTAAGCCACTAAATTTGTGGTAATTTGTTATAGCAGCCTTAGTCCTATGTCTTGTCTTCAGTATCCTATGGGGTCACATCAGCCCTAGGCAGTGCTGGAAGATACTACAGAGTGGTGTGAATACCAGAAGGTGGGAATTGTTGAGGACATACTGCTGTTCAACAAATCATCTCAACAAAGAATGGCATGAAACAAAAACGGTCATTTTATTTTCTCTTACAGATTTTATAGGTTGGGAATTTGGGAAGAGAATTTTGGCTCAGAAGCCTGGGTCCCATTGTTGCAGTCCAATGATGGCTAACGCTGGAATAATGGGAGATTGAAGTCACTGAGGGCTAACCTAGTGATTCTTTCTCCTTCTCTTGTAATCTCAGGATCCATATAGTCTCTCTGTAGGGACTAGTCTGGGCTTCCTCACAGTATGGCAGTCTCCAGGCTACAATAGTCAGCTTTCAAAATTGTCCTAAATGATTTCCATTTTCTAGTATTCATATCATTCATTGTGTAGTCTCTTTCCACACTAGATGGGGGCCAACCTGGGCCCATAGGCTAATCCAGAAATTATCATGTGTCATGTTCATGGGTAAGTCATAAAGATATTGTGGCTTCCATCTTGCTCCTTCTTAGATCACTGGCTCTGTGCGAAGCCAGTAACGATGTTATGAGGACACTCAGGCAGCCCTAGGGAATGGACCACTTAGTAAGGAACTGAGGCTTTTTGCCAACAACCAGCATGACCTTGTTAGGCATGTGGGAGAGCCACCATGGAACTGGATTCTCCAGCACCAGTCAAGCCTTTAGATGCCTGTAGTTTTAGTCAACATCTTGACTGGAACTTCGTGAGAAATCCTGAGCCAGAACCACCTAGCTTAGCTGCTTCCAGATCCCTGACCCAAAGAAACTGTGAGATACCAAAGGTTTATTGTTTTGAGCACTGTGATGCTCTGGGAGTAATCTGCTACACGGCCATAGATGATGAATACAGGACAGTCAGACTGCTTGCTTAGCAAGGCAGCTCTGGATTCTAGGACAAGTGCTTCAGGGAGCGAGGGGGAAGCCGTATCATCTCTTATGATTTAGCTTTAAAAGTCACATGGTAGTGTCCCAGCTCAGTTGGTGGAGCATGTGACTCTTGATCTTGGGGTTGTAAGTTTGAGCCCTACGTCGAGCATAGAGATCACTTAAAAATAAAACTTTTTTTTTTTAAGTCACATGTATCTCTTCCACTGTAACACAAGCCTCCTCTGTTCCAAGGGGAGGAACATAGGACTCCGTCTCTTGATTTGAGAAGTGTCAAAGTCATATTCTAAGACGTTCATGTGGGGTGGACCATTTTTGGAAATACAAACTACCACATGGGAAGGTATTGTTTTCTCCTCTGTCTTTTCTTACTCTCTCCAGGTCACAGCTTCCAACCTCTGCCCTGAGCCTAGATCTTTCTCCTGGTTCCAAACCCCATTGTAGGATCACCTCTTGGATGTCGCCACCTGGATGCTTCCCAGGCCATTCAGATGCAATGCAATGCATCCCAAAATGAGCTCCTTAAACTTCCCCAAACCTGTTCCTCCTCGGGCTTTCCCATCCACCCAAGCCACTGCTCCAGCATTACTCTCTCAATCCCTGTAATCTATGCAGACCACTACCCTGGTCCAAGCTACCTTCACCTCCTACCCAGATAAATGCAATAGTCTCCTCACTGGTCTCCCAGGTATCCTTGCCCCTCATCCACAGACTGATTCTCCACATCACAATCAAAGTGATTCTTTCAAATGGGAAAACAAACAACAAATTAAGCCAACCCCATGCACAAGAAGGGAAATAATCAAGATTAGAGCAGAGATCAATGAGTTAGAAACTAGAGATATAATAGAAAACATCAATGAAACTAGAATCTGGTTCTTTTACAGAATCAATAAGATCGATAAACCACTGGCCAAACCAATTCAAACGAAAAGAGAGAGGACACAAATTAATAAAATTATGAATGTAAAGGGAGAGATCACAACTAACACCAAGGAAATAGAAACAATCATCAGAAATTATTATCAACAGTTATATGCCAACAAGTTAAGCAACCTAGAAGAAATATATGCATTCCTGGAAACCTATAAACTTCCAATTGAATCAGGAAGAAATTGACAACCTGAATAGACCAATATCTAGTAATGAGATTGAAGCAGTGATCAAAAACCTCCCAAAAAACAAGAGCCCAGGACCTGACAGATTCCCTGGGGAATTCTACCAAACATTCAAAGAAAAAATAATACCTATTCTCCTGGAGCTGTTTAAAAAAAAAAGAAAAGAAAAGAAAGAAATAAAGAAAAAAAGAGAAAGAAACAGAAGGAAAACTTCCAGACTCTATCTATGAAGCCAGCATTACCCTGATCCCCAAGCCAGGCAAAGACCCCAGCAAAAAGGTGAATTTCAGACCAATATCCCTGATGAATATGGATGCCAAGATTCTCAACAAGATCCTAGCTAATAGGATCCAACAGTACATTAAAAAGATTATCCACCATGACCAGGTGGGATTTATCCCTGGGATGCAAGGGTGGTTCAACATTCGCAAATCAATCAATGTGATAGAACAAATCAATAAGAGAAGAGAGAAGAACCACATCATTCTCTCAATTACTGCAGAACAAGCATTTGACTAGATACAGCATCCGTTCCTGATTAAAATGCTTCAAAGTACAGAGACAGAGGGAACATTCCTCAACTGCATAAAATCTACATATGAAAAGCCCACAGCAAATATCATTCTCAACGGGGGAAAAACTGACAAGCAATTCCTTTGAGATCAGGAACACAACAAGGATGTCCACTCTCACCACTGTTGTTCAAAGTAGTACTAGAAGTCCTAGCAACAGCAATCAGACAACAAAAAGAAATAAAAGATATTCAAATTGGCAAAGAAGAAGTCAAACTCTTTCTCTTCGCAGATGACATGACACTTTACAAGGAAAACCCAAAAGACTCCACCCCCAAACTATCAGAACTCATACAGCAATTCAGTAATGTGGCAGGATACAAAGTCAATGTACAGAAATCAGTTGCTTTCTTATGCACTGACAAGAAAAATATAGAAAGGGAAATTAGAGAATAGATTCCATTTACTATAGCACCAAGAACCACAAGATACCTTGGAATAA